TATTGAATAGCTATCTTTGATAATATTATACTTATCGATATATCAAATTTGGACCAACTTAAACCCATATATTTAATTAATATTGATCACTAGTTGAAAATAAGTCTGGACTTTTCATGCATTGACTTCAAAGACGCTCCATGAAGTGTATGCTAGCTATAGCGAGTGCAATACTCATGGCATTTGATGTCGGAAATGTGACTTTAGAATAGGCCCCACATGTCCCTAGATCCATCTCTATCCTATCCTATGGTTTAAATTAGCAACATCTAATTACTCTTTCAAGCTCTACGCAGCTTTTTTACTTATATTCCGGTATAGTGTACACAAGGTCTCTTTTTGGAAATTTGCAATGCAGTGAATTTCTTTGACGGTTGCCCTTTTCGCAAGCATAATAAGTTGATTTCATTTTGATTGACAGCTTTAATCTCTCTCTTTAAATAATATCTCAATATGAGCGAAATGCTGCTTTTCTTGAATCATTTGTTTACGGAGAGAAAGTTTGGTAATGGTAAGTGAAGATGGACACAGTAGTGATACGAAGTATAACGGGGGAAGAACAGCAGAAGTGCCAAAAGTTGTGTACGGAGCTCATTTTGGTGCCAAAAGTTTCATTTGGATCACTTAAGTGCCAAATCGGAGGAAAAATGATCACTTTGGTGCCAACGGTGAGAGATTCCGGCCAAATTAATACGTGGCATTTATATTAAAGAAAAATAAGTTGATGTGGCAAATATTTGAAATCGCAGTCCACGTGGAATGGCATAAACGACGTCGTTTTCCATCCTCCACAAGAAATGACGTCGCTTCATTTTCCTACGTGGACTGCGTTTAAAAAACAACGTCGCTGAAGAAGGGGGACTAAAATTAGGGCTCGGATCTTGAGTTCTCATGTCACTCCCTCGCTCGCCGTAGCTCCCTCGATTGCCTTCTGTCGCTCGCCCACCGTCGCTCACCTGCCGTCGCTCGGCTGTCGTCGTAGCTGCGCCATTGTTTGTTGGTCCACCGTCGCTCACCCGCCGTCGGTTGGCCGTCGTCGTAGTTGCGCCATTGTTTGCTGGCCCATCGTCGCTCAGCCGCTTCACTCAGGTTTGTCATGTTCTCGCCGTGGGTCATTGGGTGGAGAATTTAGGGTTTCGACAGGCAAATTGGGGCACGGAAGGCAAAATGAAGGCTCGGCTTGGACTGCTTTTATGGGGAGGGAAAAATGGTGGGGACCTCACTTTTGTTTAATCACTTTTGTGGGGAGGGCAAAATTGTGGGGACCGAATGTGATCGAATTGAAAAATAGGGCGTGGAGGGGAAAATGAGGGCTCAGCGTAGAGGGAAACTGGTTGGAGTGCTGAGGACAGTGGTGGGGACCCGACTTTATTTAGTTAGTTAGTGTTTCTGTGGGGACCGAATGGGGTCGAATTGAAAAATGGGTGTTGGGGACCTCACGTTGTTTAATCAATTGAATAAATCGGCTTCCTTTGTTTCTTTCGATAATTGTTTAATCAATTAAATGTAAAGTTGTTGATGATTCTGCTATGTGGTCCCAATGAATGACTTTTTATTTTTATTTTTTGGGTGCAGCATCGAAATGGAGGGGAATCATGTAGGCGCCATTGTTTGCTATGGTGGAGAGTTTGTTATTGGCGCTGACGACTGGGAATATTGTGGTGGAAATGAAGGTACTATTTACGTCAATGTTGGGAAGCCATCATATATTGATTTTGTGAGGGATTTTGTGTATTTTTGTCGATGCAAAGTGCAAAAATTGCACTATTGTGTTCCTGGGAAGGAATTGAAGGATGGTTTGAGATTTTTTAGTGACGATAATAGTATTAAGGATATCATTTATCATTATCTTCACGGCGATGAAGCTAAGGTCTATGTTGAATATTATAGTGATGATGAGGCTGATGAGGATGATGGAAATGATGATCATATTCAAGCGAGTAATCAGGTTGGGGATGAGTCTACGTTAGATGGAGGGCAACATGAGAGCCAAGTGAAACAGATTTTGATAGAAATGTGAGTGAAGTCTCAGTTGAAGATGTGGCTGATAAAGACTTAGTTGGATTAGAATGGGAAGTTACTCAATATAGTGTGTCAGAAGATAAAGCTTTGCCAATTGTCAATTTCCTAAGTGATGAAGATGATGATGAACTCCAACAATCAAGACAAAACCAAAGGGAATTTTTCAGAAAAAAACTCCCAGCTTTAGGAGAAATGTAACGCCCCCACCTCGAGGTCATTAACGTGACGTCCCGTTCATTGTTATCTTTCTTTACACACAAGCAGAAGCATAATTTTGGGACAATCACATTCAGAACAACAGCGGAAATACGACCAGTAGCATAATGAGCAAACCTTATATTTACAGGACATGCAAACATATTTGACAAGCCAACTTAGCCGATTTTAGCCATTTACACACAACAAACGTTATGGCTTGGGTGTCTACTTCGGATTCACAGCTCCTAGCTTTCCCTGAACTCTAACATGGCTCAAACTCCCCGTGTCGCCGCCGTCCGTTTGACCATCCTATGGACCTGAGAGGGAAAAACAACGGGGGATGAGTCGGGGAGACTCAGCAAGTGAAAACACTAATGTCAAGTGAGGATAAATCGATCGCTGTTAACATGAGTCGGCCCTTACCGCACCAGCATTGATGGCAAATCAATAGCAAAGTTCATGCCAACAAATACTAGAGAACTCTAAGCATGGCTATAACACATGAACATCACTAGCCAAATTCCGGCTTCTATCTCGAGATATGAACGTCAAACACAAAACATAAACAAGCCAAAGAGATAACCAATCAAGACCGAACACTGTCTAAGCAAACCACGTCACAACGCATCTCATCATCCTTTCCCGAGATTAGGGAATTCACTTACTCAACAAACAAAACTAGAATTAAAAGCGAGAGGCGTGAGTCTCGATCGTCTCGGATGGTTCTTGGTGGTTCTCGGGCTTGAACATGAACACTCGGGCCTTGCATAAGGCTTCCTTACTCGATCAAACCACAAGAGAGACACGGGCTAGCCGGTGAGCTTTTTTTCTCTTTCTCGATCATAAATATGAAGCAAGAAAAAAGAAAGAAGGTTAGCCGGAGCTCTCGAGGCGTGAACTAGGAGAGAGAGACGTGAGAGAGAGGGAAGGGAGGCGTGAGAGAGGAGAGAGAGTGGCGTGAGAGAGGAGAAGGGGGGCCTTCACGTGAGGCTCTCCCTCTCTCTCTCTCTCTTTCTCCCTATTAATAGAAGACTTTTCTTGGTCACTACTCAAGCCAATCAATGCATGTCATCATGGAGGGGCCCTAAAGTCTTGATTCATTAATGCAAACCATCATGAAGGGCCACCAAAGTCTTCAATTATTTATTGCGAGTCATGATGAAGGCCACCAAAGTCCCACTTTAATAAATGAAAGCCATAATGAAGCTTGGAGGATAAGCTTTGACTCGGTCAAAGCCTTATCCTCTAGATTCTTCTACCAATTTCCCGAACCGTGTACTCCCTAGAACCTTCTGACTTTGCTGGTTTCTCACGCAAATGACTCGGGCTAATCGGGTCACACGAAATAAACCAATTGGCACAAAAATCACAACCCGCGCCATACTTAATCATAAGATTTTCTGAGGGTTTTCCGCGATAAACACGCATAATAATTCCATCCAACACGAGGTTTGGTGTGAGAAAACCTCTAAATATGCCTCAAATATCACCAAAAGACATCAAGTCAAGATTCCAACGTTCTCATATAGAAATTGATAAGTTTTTGAAATCTGACAAAACTGGACAGCTTTGCACTGTTTAAGAAATCGGACTTGAAAACATAGTAAATGAACTCAGAAAATTCTCAAATTTGAATATTTCATAAAAAAGGCCTTAACAAACATTTATCATGAAGAACACAAAATATGAATCTCTCTGTAAACACCATTTTCAGTAGCTCAAAGACAGACTAAAACAGTTCACTGGAACAGAATTCTTGTTTCTCAAAGTAAGCTCTGTCCAGAATCCAAATCATCTCGAAAAATTCCCAAATTTATATACGTTAGAGAAAAGGACGTTCTCAACAACTTTTGTGAAGGAAACTTTTCCAAAATCGGTCCAGAAAATCTTGTAGAAAATAATGAAAGGGTGAACATCACCGAAATACCCATTCTGGGCAGTTTCACAAGGTCCGAAAATCAGGCCATCGTACCACTCATATCAAGTCCAAAAATTCTGAAATTAAAGTATGTAAAACTTCAAGATTTTTGGAACAAATTTCAAGAATAAAGTGTTTGGAAATTCGGATCACAAAAGTCTTCCCAAAAATAACAAAACGAAGGGGTACAAAGGATCCAAAACTGGGTTTTCCAAAACAAGAGAAAACAATTTAGTTCTGATTGGAAAACCACCAAATTTAACCCATAGCCATTTCCCAAGAACTGAAATTGAGGATGTTACAATTTACCTGCGGCTTCCTAGGCCCAAAAATCGGGATGTGACAAGAAAGGCTTGAGTTGGATGAAGTTTCAGCCGGAGGTAATGGAAGTGAAGATACAAAAAGTTGTGGCAATGAAACTGCTGGTTCGAAGAATGATAATGAAGAACATGTTCATCGAAGGAAAAGTAAGTACCCTTGCTATGATCCAAATGTCGATAAACCTGTTTTGTGTGTCGGCATGAAATTTGATGATGCAAAACAATTAAAAGAAGCTATTATGGAGAGTTCTATTGTTGAACAGAGGAGCGTAGAATTCATTAGAAATACGAAGGAATTTGTGAGAGCTAAGTGCTTACAACCCAATTGTCCTTGGAAGTTGTACGGCGCTGTGAGTAGGAAGGGGTCATTCCAGATTAGGTCCTTCCAGGAGGAACATACTTGTTCAATTTATTTTGATAACAAAAGGGTAACAAGTGTGTGGTTGTCAAAACATTTTTTCAATACAATCAAAGCAATGCCCGAGATCAAATGCCTTTAGTTTAAGCAGTTAGTGAAGGAGCAGGTAGGAGTTAATGTGTCGATGAATCAGTGCAAGAGAGCTAAGCAGAGGGTGATGCAAATTTTGATGGGTCGGTACAAGGAAGAATATGCGCAGGTATGGGATTATGCTCGCGAATGTGTGGTTCAAAACCCATCTAGTAGGGTATATGCTGAGGTTGTAGAGAGGCCACTGCCTGATTGTGAGCCTAGGTTTAATAGATTTTATGTTTGTTTTGATGCATGCAAACGGGGCTTTTTGGCTGGTTGTAGAAGAGTTGTAGGATTGGATGGATGTTTTCTTAAGGGTTTATGCAAGGGGGAGTTGTTGGCTGCTGTGGGGAGAGATGCCAACAATCAAATGTTTCCGATAGCTTGGGCAGTTGTCAAGATTGAGAACAAGGATACTTGGTCCTGGTTCCTCAAGAATTTAATGGTTGACCTTGACATAAACGATGGGGGAGGATGGGCATTCATGAGCGACCAACAGAAGGTAATACCATTGTCAATTAATTCCCTTTTAATATTAATTACTTGAGTATTTTCTGACTTGTATTTGTTGATTTGAATTTTTGTAGGGACTTGTTCCTGCATTGGCTGAGTTGATGCCATATGCTGAGCATAGAATGTGCGCGAGGCACATATATGCAAATTGGGCAAAGAACTACAAAGGAGATATGCTGCAGAAGCAGTTTTGGCAGATAGCGAAGAGTACCAACATGGCTGACTTCAGATTAGCCAAACAGGGGTTGTTGCAGCTGACAAAGGAAGGCTTTGATGCACTATTCCAGACAGAAGCTAAGCACTGGTGTCGGGCCTTCTTCAGTGAAGAATTTAAATGTGATATAATTGACAACAACCTTAGTGAAGCTTTCAATGGCAGAATTTTAGAGGCCAGGTGCAAGCCAATCATTAGCATGCTTGATGATATTCGCGTTATGGTCATAACCAGACTGCACATGCAAAGAGATGAGGCTACCAAGTGGAGCAGAGAATGCGGTCCTAGAATTGTAAAGAAATTGGATGCGAACGTTACTGCTAGTAGGTTCTGCCATCCGGTTTGGAATGGAGAAAATGGATATGAGATCATTCACAATAATGATAAGTATGTGGTCAACCTAGATAGAAGAAAGTGTTCATGCCGAGCCTGGGAACTAAGTGGAATTCCTTGTCCCCATGCTATTTGTGCCATTTTGATGAAGCAAGAAAGGCCAGAGGATTACCTACATGATTAGTACAAAAAAAGCTCATACTTTAATTCGTACAAATTCATGATGCAGCCTATCCGAAGTAGCAAATTTTGGGAGCCAACAAATCGTGAAGGCCCTCTACCTTTGCCACTAAAGAAGCAAATAGGAAGGCCAAAGAAAAAATGAAGAATACAGGAGGGAGAGGCATCAAGTCAGAGGATGAGTAGGACCGGGTGAAGATGAAATGCTCCTATTGCCACAAGGAAGGGCACAATAAGAAAGGTTGTCAGTTGAAAAGGCAATGTGAACAAGAAGTTGTTACAAGAGCTGATCGTGGGCCAGGAACAACACCTACTGAAGAGGTTGATGTTGGGCCTACTGAAGCGCCAACAAAAGGCCCTGTTCTAGGCCCAAGTGCAGCGACAAGTACAGGCAGGACAGCAACAACAACAACTGAGACCACTGTTGAACAAACGAGGAAAAAATATCCAGTAAGCTATACATTGTTGTGTTTGTCTTTTATGGGCTGAGTTTAATTTTGTTATGTGTTTCTCAAGTGAGAAGACGACCAACTGCACAAGTTGCACAAGGACAGGGAGTCCTACAGGTTGCTCCCCCACAAGTTGCATAAATTGCTTCCCCACAAGTTGCTCAAAGTGATGCACCACAGCGAACAAGAGGGGTTCTTGGAAAAAGAATAAGGCAATATGGTTATGGGATTTACACAGATGAACGTACTGGAATGACTATTTTCAATGTAAGATTTGTAGGACTCATGTATTTAATTTATGGTATTTCAATTCATTTGGTTAACAATATAATTATGTTCTTGTAGCCTGGAAAAAGTTCGGAGGTGCTTATCTCTCAAGGTGGGCCAACTCAAGAGTCAAGGGCGCAACCAAAGAAGAGTACAAAGAAGAAGAAGAAGAAGACATCGAGTACAGCTTCAAAACAGCCACCAACAAATAAAGTTGCACCAGTTCCATCTCAACCAACAGAACCAGTACTAGTTCCATCTCAACCGATTAATCATGGGACCAATGTTCCTACGGAGAGGTCCCCACACATGACACGTGCTACAAAAAAAAAATGTTGATGCTAAGAAGAATGTGACAGAAATGCCAGTTAACGAACCTACGTGTCCAGTTCGAAAGAGTGCCCGAATTATGAATCAATTCAAAAGTGCAAAAGGAAAAGGAGCCGGGGGTGTTGTGCATATTGACTAATGGGAGGGTGCTGGACATGGTATCTTCACTGATGGGGATTGCTGCCATTGTTTTTATGTGTTCGCTTTGACATATTAGGTGGGAGGGGATCGTTGACTGATTGGGGGACCGATGTTTTTTATGGACATGTTTATTTTTGTAAAGAACCAATCAATGTCAATGGCAACAATGTTTTTGTTATTTTCTTGTCTTGCACCTTGTTATGAGGCTGATGTTGTTTTTGGAAGTGGTTGGTTGATTATTGTTGTTGGTTGAAGTTGTGGGTGCTGGATGTACGTGCTGGTTGAAGTTGTGGGTGCTGCATCTTCCTGCACTAGCAAATACAAGTACTGGTGTAAGAACAAGATGCACTAGCACAGCACTAGTGCAATTGTGGCTGTTGGTGCATCATGTTGCACCAACACAGCTCTCGGTGCAACTTAGGGTGCTGGTGCGTCTTCTTGCACCAACACTTGTATGAGCTGGTGTAAGAACAAGATGCACCAGCAACTCAACTGGTGCAACAACATGCACCACGACTGGTGCAAGCCAATGGAAACATAGTTGAAACTGACTTATTCTTATTTTTAAACTCGTGCAACACGAGTGATCACTTTTTCATTGCGATTGACACTAAAATGATCACTTTCAGAAAAACTTGGCACTGAAATGATCACTATTTACAACTTATGGCACTGAAAGAGTCACTCGTGAATTGTTACCACCCCTTAATTTCTTCATGGTTTGCAGTAATGGTTGCAGCAAACCATTACATCTGATGCAAAAACCAAGCAAACCAATATATACAATACAGAACCAAGCAAAAAAAAATTGAAGTGCTCACAACCAATGAATTCCAACTCCAACCTTCCATTTCCACCATAGATTGGAACAAAACCTTTTGTTCCATACAATTTGCAGCAAACCAGTAACACACTTTACTTACAAATGACCCAATATAAGTAAATATTCCACATCTTCGATTATGGTAGACATACAAACTTCTTCTCATTGCTCACTTCAAATTTGAATATACTACACAAGAGAACAACAACACAATCAATGCTCGATAAAAGTTTCTTTCAATTTTCAGCCTTGAAACTTCCCTCTTCAAATGGTCGACTAAAGATGTTAAACCCTTCATTTGAGCTTGCATTGAGTCGACATCATCTAACTCGTCCATTAATGTAGGTGGAGGTTGATGTCGTCCTTCAAGTAGCTGCAAGATCACTTCTGTGGCTCGACCGGAGAATTTGGCATCAACCCATTTGAAATATTTGCACTTTGAGCCTTCTCTATACCTGCCGCATCCATGAAATCTTCTCTCGGGATTTAACTGAGTCCAAGATGTTCTTCTCGCACTCGGTAACCCACAAAAACAGTGACACTCACCATCTAATTCGCTTTTTTTAATCGAATGTGAGCCGATGTTGAAGCTTCCGCCCTCCATCTGCAAGCGCGAGCTGATAATTGGGGATTTAAGGTTCTGATTTTCGCGGGTTAGGTATCCCGAATGTGAGCCGCTGCTGAGCTTCCGCCCTCCATCTTTCAATTTGGGGATTATGGTTCTTATTTTGGGGAGAAGAAGCTAAATAAAACGACGCCGTGTAGGTATCGTGAATAAAACGGCGTCGTTTTATTGTTTGCACGCTAACTGTACTCTTCGGTGAGCCACGTTGGCTTCAAATACTAATAAAAAATTGCCACGTCAGATTTCCGACCAATCAGATCGGAGTTGGCACTTAAAAGATCGTTTTTCAAATTTTTTGGCACTTAAGTGATCCAAATGGAACTTTTGGCACCAAAGTGAGCTCGTACACAACTTTTGGCACTTCTGCTGTTCTTCCCCCGAAGTATAACCTAGCCCTTGGTGTCAGAGCCAGTTGTATTAGCAGTGGCTTAAGTTTTTTTCACACTCTTCCTCTGCAGTGTACCTTAACGGTGGGACAGTATTTATCGAGAGGGTTAATACCATAAAAAACCTCAAATTGATATAATTGTGATAAACTTACATCAAACTATTTTCTTGACCACAAAAAATTCCAAACTGATACATCTATGACAAATTTACCCTCCATTAATTTCCGTTCAATTTTATCTTCGAATTGCTGAGTTAGATAACAAATTTACCCTCCATTAATTTCCGTTCAATTTTATCTTCGAATTGCTGAGTTAGATGACACGTGACAGTTGACAGATGTACCGGTTTGGGGTTTTACCCTCCGTTTGTCACAGTTGTATCGGTTTATGATTTTTTGTGGTATTAACTAATTTAACGGAAACTAACAAAGGATAAATTTGTCACAAATGTATCAATTTGGGGTTTTTTGTGGTTAAAAAATTAGTTTTGGGTAAATTTATCACAAGTGTACTAGTTTGGGATTTTTTGTGGTCAAAAAATTAATTTGAGGTAAATTTGTTACAACTATTCCAGTTTGAAGTTTTTCGTGATATTAACCCTTATTGAAATAAAGAGGCTCAAATAGTGTGATAGAAAGAAATATATGATGAGTCTTTATACATGAGCATTATTTTTTCATTTCCCAGTAAGTCAGATTTTGGTGCTTGACATGTTGATAATCTTCAGGTTTTGGTGATAGAAACACAACAATTTTTTGCTAGAATATTTGATTATCAACGGCTGAGATTTAGTACCAGAGATCGAACAATTTAGAACCTTAGCAAAGACCCAAATCGTGAGGAAGAAAGAGGAGATGGGTACAGACCATGGAGCCCGTTAACCTAACCTTTGTTTAGGCCTTGACTAAACACCAGTCAATTCCTCGGGTAATGAAATGGATGGTTCTCTGCGTTATTGTTCCTTTACTGATCAGTCACCATCACCAATGTCCATGTCTCCATCCTTTCCTCCGCCGCTAAAGGGCAGATGTTGATGACTTAACCACCCTTTGCCACCTCAAATGGTCCTTTCATCCTTTGCCACCGCAAATGTACTAGTCCTAATCCATCCTTTCATCCCTACCTCTACTGTCAATGGACAAGCACTAATTAGGTACTAGTCCTATACTCGCTCCTTGCACGGATCAATAAAATCATATTTAAAATATAGAAGTAACATTATAATTAAGCAAATTGTCAAATTTGAATGTCAATTGCAATTGTTACGTTAGACGTAACTTCAATTAGAATTGTTAGATTAGAACTTCTAAGGAAATCAAACTTTTTTTGTTCTTTATTAACATTTTAAGCTAATTTGCTTTCTTGTATACTGCTGCTCTATACATGGCAAAATTAATATGGGAAACGATGGTGAGCCTCAATTCATTGAAAAACGTTCCAATACTTACATCTCATGCCCAATTTTCTCCACCCCCACCACCTCCTCTGCTATTTAGAGTCCCAAAACTTGGCGTTTTCTTCGCCGGCTTGCTCAATCAGAATACCAGGAGCCTGCACAACTTCCTCCCACCTTTTCTCAAACTCAGCAATGATTGTTAGATCATCATGTCAAATTACTCCGAAATCCGTATATTTGTTATGACTATTTGAAAACATTACGACCAATTTCTAACAAAGAAATGGTATCACTAATTAAAGTTACGAGGGATGTTTCTCTTTCTAGTTAAGTTGACAAGGATATTTTGCATACTAACTAGCTGGTTTATGAGGAATGACTGCATATAAACAAATTACCAGGTAAAGTTATTGTTGGAAACTGATGCGGAAAAACAAAGACAGAACACAGGGATTTACGTGGTTCGATCACAAGGTGATCTACGTCCACGGGCGAGGCAAGACAAAATTCCACTATAATCAAAGAGAGTACGGTTTTCAGAAGTCGAAACAACGACAAAAGCTCACGGCTCACAAAACTCTTTAGAAACAAAATTCTCTCTACATCAATCAGAAAACCTAACCGCAGTATAAATAGTGCTCCCAAAAAAATTTCCTCGGGGGCTACGCCCCTGAACCCCCCAAAACATTGGTTCGCTTGCTCCAGCTTGGGCAGTCCGCCATAGACTCTAGGTTGGGCCTATCGGCCCAACCCTCCGTGTCACGAACCAAATCTCAATTTTCTCTCCACTTTCGGGTCGCACAAAAAATATGTCGAGTCGGGTCATTAACCGGACCGAGTACATAAAATTCAAGACATATTTAACATACTCAAATTAGGAAACCATTCAATTAAGAATTTTTCTTTTTTCGGGCTCAAACTATAAAAGCCCTCTAGTGGTTCGGGAGCGCTGCCCCCGCGACCACCGCTGGGACGGCCTCCTCGGACCCCCGCTTGCTCACCGGAGAGCAGCACCCCTGTGTTGTCCAGTCGTTGAGAGTATGAACCACACCCCCAACAATTATCTGAGTCCATTGTTGTCAAGAGGAACAAGAGTGGATTAAGTTGGTCGTAATGGGAGGTTATGCGAGGGTTTTATGAGCATAAAATAACTTGGACTCTCATGATGACACGAAGATGAACTCAAAAGTAATGTAAGGGACTCAACAAAATCTGGATATTAAAACAATATTAAGAGTTAATGCTAGGGAGAAAAGATAGGTTGCCACAATATTTGTTTTATTCAATAGCATGAGTGATTAAAACCGAGCGTTTAAATGAGCAATTAATATCAAGTGCCTAATAAGTGTTTATCACGTCGATCAGTACATTGTATTTATGATCCCATCTTACTATATTTATAGCTTTATTTTCAACGTATGATCAATTGGTCTTTAATATTGATGTTACTTAAGATCTTAACATAGCTATGAAAAATGAATTAATTACAACATGAGAAATTTCAAGTTGCACAATGTGTAAGGATATTTATAGAGACATTATTAGATATTCGGGATATTATTTGATAGTTCATGATGTCCTAATGTGAGAGAGAAAAGTGTTTAAAGAGAGAAACTCTCAAGAATACTTTGTATTGTTTAGTTCTTGGATGATCAAAATGAGGGAGAGGGTACTCCTATTTATACATGAGTCCCTCTTTTATGATCGTTAATTCACTTTTAATTACAAGTATACATCATCCATTATACCCTTGTTATATTCTAAAGTCTCTTAGAAAAACCTATGTACAAGAAGGTTCTTGGTTTCACGGTTCTTTGGGTCCAATCTTCGCAAATGTCCTTGGTTTGGTGGGCCTTGAAACCTCTGGTCCGTGACAGTAGGATAGCTAGTTTCTATGTAAGATTAGGATAACTAGTTTTCTTGCTAGACTTAGGTTGTTTTTTTTTCCTGTACACATGGTTCTGATATAAATACGTATTGATTAACACATTATAGTGTTCAATACAATAACCCTTTTCTTATTTTGGTTCTAACTTGGTCTTAGAGCTAAGCAATCTTGACATTCGAGTGCACACCGGGAGCACACCTAAAGTACACCTAGTATCTCGTGCTGTTGCTTTTTTCAATTACTGCTAATATCCCTTTCTCGATTTTGATGCTTGATATTGTTCATCTCGTTTGATTGTGTTATGGCAATGTGATCTTATGGCAATTTGTTCACTTCCTGTTAGTTCAATCTTTACTTGATTCAATGATGCTGTGATTCCCACATCCTGTGTTGACGAGATTACGTACATGTTCCGTTTGTTTTGATGTAATGCTCGTGCTTACATGCACTTGGAAGTGTAAAACCCGTGCCTTCTATACAAAGATACATCCACATCTGTTGCGATGCTGCCCAAGTTAGTCAAGAGTTAGTGCAACTTTTCTTGGTATTGGCAATTCAATGCTACCCAAGTTAGTTAAAGTTTGTGCAACTTTTCTTGGTATTGGCAATTCAATGCTACCCAAGTTAGTTAAAGTTTGTGCAACTTTTGATGGTATTGGCACCCAACAACAATCCGATAATTTATTTGATGTGGTTACATCCACATATATCTTGTGTAATGACCGGCTTGCACACCAAGTGGGAGTGCTCGCACTTCAGTGCTCTTGCTTCTTGCATCTATTTTATTTTTTAAAAATTTCAAGTTCGATGACAATATTCCAAACTCAATGTTACATTTTAGGGATATTAATTGATATTCCGTTATATCTTAGGATAACTAATTTCCTTGTCAGATCATGATAACTAGTTTTATTGTTAGATTAGATTATTTCATTTCCTGCGCACATTGTTGGGATACAAACACTTCTTGATTGTAACACACTGTAGAGTCCACATGGATATATACAAAGGCAAATTCTCTTCAATTCATTTATGGTCAGATCTCGTTAATGATTGCAGTGAACGCTAAATGGATCATTCAAAATAAGAACTCATATTGAAAATCTTGTTTGTTAGAAAAAGATTTGTACTCAAATCAATTTTTGACGCATTCCCTTACAAACTTTAGTACATGCTGCATTGATTTATGTAATTTTTTGGTCATGCAAACCATCTGTAGCATGATTGATTTGGAAAGCTAAAGCAACAACTGGTACCACAAAGAAACAAAAAACAAAGGATAAATACTTTGAAAGTCCTAAAACTTGTCACGAAAGTGCAATTGAAATCTAAAACTTTCGAAAAGTGCAATCAAATCCTAAAACTTACTGCAAAAGTGCAATTGAGTCCTAAAACTTTCAAAAATTGCAATCAAGTCCTAAAACTTATCAAATTAGTTCAGTTAAGTCATTCCATTGAGTGCATACTTTGAAAGTTTTAGGATTCGATTGCATTTTCGTGATAAGTTATAGGACTTGATTGCACTTTTTAAAAATTTTAGAACTTAATTGCACTTCAGTGACAAGTTTTAGAACTTCCAATGCACTTATCCCAAAAAAACAAATTGCAACCACATTAATCAGACAATCCTTGATGTCCAGGGCACCAATTACTTTAATTAATCTCAATCATTAAGGATAAACCTCAATGAGAGATCTAAAACCCTCCAAAGGAGTGATTCTGTACTCAGTGAAACCAGCCTCCTGAAAGAGCTTGGCCCATTCTTTCTCGTTCCTCTCTTTGCCTGCGACAATCGCCATCATCATCATGTCAAAGCAGAGCTTAATCCCCATGGATGCTCCGTCTTCCTTGGACTCATCTCCGATCACTATATCGATTATCATCACCTTTCCCTTCTTACCATTGCTCGTGACTGCTGCTTTACACTGCTTCAGTATCTTCGTGCTCTCGTCGTCGCTCCAGTCGTGTAATATGCACTGATAGATAGACGTAGATGCGTATCTCTTAGTACATATGTATCATTCTGCATGCGTTTGTAATATAAAAAGATATCATAATCTTTACTGATTTAGAAAACAGAAGTGAAATGAAAAGAATTTTCTTTTTGCTAAAAAAATGAAAAGATATTTTAAAATATGGGTTATAGTGTACTTACTGAAACTCCTTTATAGTAACGAATGATTGGTTTGACTTTCTAATTTAATCAATTAAGTTAACTGATGAAAATGTTTCGTATATGACTAAGTGACGTTTCATAGTTAATATTCGATTTTTGACTTGATGCCTTCGAATCTGTCACGGTTAATAATTCTAATTAGTATACTCAGGAAGAATTAAGTAACATCACTTCATAGCAATCAATTCATAAATTTCGCGCCAACTCGATCGTAATTTCACATTAGGTTGAACTTGCTTTGTATTCGAGTGGTAATAACATATAACACCCCAAGTAACCGAACTCTTATCTGCTTTCTAATTAAAAAGTTAAGGTATTTGATTAAACAAACTGAAAGTTTAGATACTGGAACAAAAAATGCGTAAAATTTCATGCGTTTGCAACGTGACAATCCATGTAAAAGGGAGAGAAAAGTAATCTCTCTCGTACGCACCTTGAGCAAAACAGCGTCCGCAGGAGGAACAGCCTTAAACATGTCGCCACTCACAAACTTCAAGTTCCTCGTCCCCTCCAAGCCGGCCACCACGTGCGGCAGATCGAGCACCATCCACTCCACTTGCGGGAACGCCTCTGCTGCCTCCCTCACCAACCCTCCGATCCCCCCTCCGACATCGACCACCGTCCTCAGCCCTTGAAACAGCTGCCGTCCACGCTTCTCCACCATCAACCTCATGGTCACTGGCCCATCACTCGCCATGGCTTCGTTTACGCTCCGGTTCAGCCCCTCATCCTGGGCCGTGTACTCCCACAGGCTCTTCCCGTGCTTCATGACGAAGGGCGTGCGGGGGCTCAGGCTCTCGCTCTTGAGCCACTCACCCAGGCAGTGCAATGGGCCTTGTATGATGGGGTCGAGGATGAAGGACACCATGGGCGATAAGTCACCAGGCTCGCCTTTCCGGATCGCTTGTGAAATGGGAGTGAGAGAGTACGTCAACCCCAGCTGCTCCTGGTCATTTTTAGCAGCAGACTTTCGTTGAGAGACGAAGCCGGTTTGGGCAAGGACCGCCATGAGTCGGCTCAGGAAGGCGGCCTTGGAGGCGGGGACCGACAGCGCGGCGGCGAGCTCGGGAAGGGTCATGGGATGGCCGTGGGGGTGGAGGGCGTCAGGGATGCCAAGGTCGATGGCGCATTTGAGGGACATGGAGTAGATGGAGTTGAAAGCATGGGTCCATAGGTGAGCATGGGCTTGTACGATCTCGCTCTCCCTCGTCACTCCATTATCAACCGAGTCCATTGTTATGGGGGAATGGCTAATGAGATTGGATTAGGTTTTGGTGAGTTGAGTTGAGTCGAGAAAGGGTTTTATAGGCATAAATTGCACATATCCTTTCTTACTATGCATAAATTGAATGTAACGCGACAGATATAGCAAAAGCGTGATGTAAAAAAGTACAAGTGATAGACTTAAGTTGCGATTTCGATGAGTTGAGAGAGGTTTTTCTAAGCAAATGTCGCGCTTATGTAAAGACAATGGCCAAATGGGTAGGATTATTATTTTCTCTAGGTAACTTGGTGAATGTCTGTCTTGCTACTTCTTGATACGTGCTTTATACAGTGTTGCAAGAAACAAATTGTCAGTGGTCCTTTCATCCTTTGCCACCTCAAATGGTCCTTTCATCCTTTGGCACCGCAAATGTACTAGTCCTAATCCATCCTTTCATCCCTACCTCTACTGTCAATGGACAAGGACTAATTAGGTACTAGTCCTATACTCGCTCCTTGCACGGATCAATAAAATCATATTTAAAATATAGAAGTAACATTATAATTAAGCAAATTGTCAAATTTGAATGTCAATTGTAATTGTTACGTTAGACGTAACTTCAATTAGAATTGTTAGATTAGAACTTCTAAGGAAATCAAACTTTTTTTGTTCTTTATTAACATTTTAAGCTAATTTGCTTTCTTGTATACTGCTGCTCTATACATGGCAAAATTAATATGGGAAACGATGGTGAGCCTCAATTTATTGAAAAACGTTCCAATACTTACATCTCATGCCCAACTTTCTCCATCCCCACCACCTCCTCTGCTATTTAGAGTCCCAAAACTTGGCGTTTTCTTCGCCGGCTTGCTCAATCAGAATACCAGGAGCCTGCACAACTTCCTCCCTCCTTTTCTCAAACTCAGCAATGATTGTTAGATCATAATGTCAAATTACTCCGAAATTCGTATATTTGTTATGACTATTTGAAAAGATTACGACTAATTTCTAACAAAGAAATTGTATCACTAATTAAAGTTACGAGGGATGTTTCTCTTTCTAGTTAAGTTGACAAGGATATTTTGCATACTAACTAGCTGGTTTATGAGGAATAACTGCATATAAACAAATTACCAGGTAAAGTTATTGTTGGAAACTGATGCAGAAAAACAAAGACAGAACACAGAGATTTACGTGGTTCGATCACAAGGTGATCTACGTCCACGGACGAGGCAAGACAAAATTCCACTATAATAAAAGAGAGTACAGTTTTCAGAAGTCGAAACAACGACAAAAGCTCACGGCTCAAAAAACTCTTTGGAAAAAAAATTCTCTCTACATCAATGAGAAAACCTAGCCGCAGTATAAATAGTGCTCCCAAAATATTTCCTCGGGGGCTACGCCCCCGAAACATTGGTTCGCTTGCTCCAGCTTGGGCAGTCCGCCATAGACTCTAGGTTGGGCCTATCGGCCCAACCCTCCGCATCACGAACCAAATCTCAATTTTCTCTCCACTTTCGGGTCGCACAAAAAATATGTCAGGTTGGGTCATTAACCGGACCGAATACATAAAATTCAAGACATATTTAACAGTTATCGTTCTCCTAAAGTAAGTAGATTTCTTTTTGTAGTATAGGGCATGAGCATGGAGATCCATTTAGCTAGAAGCTTATGAAACATCCTGCAAGCCCCATAAACTGATTAAACTCAAGCATTTGGCCTGTGTAGGGGACTCTAACCTAGAGTAGTTTGCACACAATTTGTAAAATTCAAACTAACGACCTCTGGTTTTTTAGCTGGAAATCCCCAACCAACTATACTAATCCTAGAGTTAAGTAAGTGTAAAGAGTAAGTGTATTTTTTATTATGTATTATTTCTCAAGAAAATGACAATGTTAACATAAAATAATCATATTATTGATAATTCAATAATTTCATGATAGAGATGCTAACCTAACTTTAGTTTGGGCATTACCTAAACACCTGTCAATTCCTTGGTATAGAAATAGATGATTATCTGCATTATTGCTTCTTTACTAGACCAATCACCATCACCAATGTCCATGTCTCCGTCCTTTTCTCCACCACTGATGAACAGATATTGATGAGGCATGCATCCTTTCATCCTTTCATCCTTTCCTCCACCATTAAAGGACAAGCATTGATTAGGTACTAGTCCTAATCCTGCTCCTTGTCCGGTCAATGAAATCCTGTTAAAAATATAGAAGTAACATTACAATTAAGCTTCAAGAAAAAAATTAAGTTTAATGTTATTGTTTTATATACTGAATAGCAATTTTTTATAATGTTCTGTTTATTGACGTAATAGAGTTGGGTTAACCTAGAACCGTATATCCAATTAATGTTTTGACCGTTAGTTGGAGAAAAAGTGTTGTCTGTCAAATCTTCGTAAATTTGTTGACAAAAAACCCGGGGAAAGAATATTAGAAGTACCAAAATTTGTGTACGGCACTTACTTTAGTGCCAAAAATTTTCGCCAGCTCACTTAAGTGCCAAATCGGAGGAAAAATGATCACTTAAGTGCCAACGGCGAGAAATTCCAGTCAAATTAATACGTAGCTTTTATAATTAAAATTTTAATCTGAGTTGAATTTTTTTTTAAAAAAAATTCAGTCTACGTGGCATTTCCACGTGTATATTTCGATTTTTTGAATATATTTTTTTCTTTTCTTTTTTCTTTGCCTGGCCTCACCCGAACGCTTGGCCTCGCCCGGACGAGGCCGCCGTCGCCTGCCACAGGGGAGGCCTCGCCCGGACGAGGCCGCCGTCGCTTGCCACAGGGGAGGCCCGGCCGACTCTCGAAAGGCAAAGCCCTACAGAAACCAGAAGATCATCATCAACCCAACCCCACCCAAAGCGAAAACCTTCGTTTTTAGGGTTCGTCGGACACGCTCGAATCATGAATGAGGCTCGAAGAAGCCTATGATTTCATAGGCGATCCTTAAGCACCATCAACCATGACTCTCTCTCTCTCTCTCTCTCTCTCTCTCTCTCTCTCTCTCTCTCTCTCTCTCTCTCTCTCTCTCTCTCTCTCTCTCGCTTTGATGCGTTTGCTTCATTCTCTCGGCCGCTTGAGAATCTTGCTGCTGCTTCGTCTTCTTCTTCTTCTTCTCGTGCTTCTTGTTTGATGTTGTTCCTCATCTTTTCTGATGATCTGAAAATCGGCCCCCGGCCGCCGTGGTCGGGCTCCAATCGCGCAACCCGACCTAAACCGGACGAGGTCACTGTCGCCCGCCACAGGAGAGGCCCAGGTGAGGGTCGGTCGGGCCTCGCCTGTGGCGGGCGACAGCGGCCTCATCCGGGCGAGGCCAGGCGGCCGGCCATGGCCGGTGGCCAGTGTCCGGTCACCGGCCAAAGGTAAAAGAAGAAGAAAGAAAAGAAAAAAAGAAAAGAAAGGAAAAAAGAAAGAAAAGGAAAAAAAAAGAAAGGAAAAGAAAAAAGAAAAAAATAAAATTATTTAAAATAAGCTAAACTACATCGTTTTGAAGTGTACATGCTGACTAAACCTTCGGCGAGTCACATCGATTTCAGAAATTAATAGAAAAAATGACACGCTGGATTTTCGGCCAAACTGACTGGAGTTGGCACTTAAGTGATTGTTTTTTTAAAAAAGTGACACTTAAGTGATCCGAAAAAATGTTTTGCCACTAAAGTGAGCGCCGTACACAACTTTTGGCACTTCTAGTGTTCTTCTCCCCAAAAAACCCCTCAAATCATCGCTTTAAGTGAAAAAAAAGAAGAAGAAGAAAAAACTCGGTTCATAAGGAAAATTTGAAGTTGTTAAATTTTTTTTTCCAACTATAATTCTTAGATTAGACTGTCAAATTACTCCTAACTTTGATTGTGTATATATCCTGGCTTTTTAAAAAATTTATGATAAAATTCTACACAAAAAATGTTATGACTAATTAAAGTTGTGATGTACTTTCTCTTTTGTAATTAAGTTAATAAGCACCGTTTGCATAATAACTACGTAGTTTATGATGAATAATGCACATAAAAAATTACCACATAAAGTAAGAATGTTTTTTATAATCTAAGGAGACATGCATGGAGACATGTCTACCTAGTAATTCATGAAATATCCTGCAAAACCCATGAATCAGTTAAGCTCAAGCTTTTGCCTAACAAAGGTGGCTCTAAGCCAAAACATTTTACACGCAGTTTGCAGGATTCAAACTAGCGACCTTTAGGCTAGAAATCCTTGACACCTCAATCAACTACGCAAATTTTTTGGACTAAGTAAGCATAATTCTTTGTTGTAAATAATAAGTGTATTTTGCATTCTAGATTATTTTTATAAAAATGACAATGTTGAATAACATTATCATATTGTTGATATTCAATAATCTCCAAAATAGAGATGTTAAGTAAATATAATCTTTTATTGTAAAAAATAAGTGTATCATGTATTCCGCATATTTTTTTAAGAAAAGATAGTCTTGAGTTAAATGGTTTTACTTCTTTTGGTGATTGATTTGCATAAAATTGACTGTTGATGGAAACCCCACTTCAATGTCCTTAAATAAAACCAATCACATATTTATGATATCTTAATGATAGGGAGTGGGAGTGAGCAATCGATTTGGTTCAATCACAGAACTGACTAAACTGGCCTTACCCGGCCAATTTCAATTCAATTCACGCGAGGATCGATTCGGTTCCCAGGTAGAAATTTAGGGACTGGCCTTGACCGGTTCTGTTGCGGAAGCCAAGCGATCGAACAATAAAATTGACAGAATAAGAAAATAAATCGGACACCAGATTTACGTGGTTCGGTCGTAGTGACCTACGTCCACGGGGAGAGCAGCACGGAATTCCACTATAGATCAAGCGATACAACGGAGATTACAACCACACTCGAGTCACTCAAACACTCTCGGTGTTTCCCAAGCCCCAATTACACCCAGTAACGCACACAGTGTTTAGCCCCAATTCCTCACGAAATAATCTTTCAATCTCACGAAGGAATTATACACAAATCTTATCACAAGATTTACGCTTGAACACTAATTCTTCTTGGATGTAATTCA